TTTCTTCCTTCCTGAATTAAAGTTCTAAATCTAGCTCAAGTGTCATCAACAGATCATGAGAACCTAATTGAAACAAGAGTATCTCTAAGAGTGCCAAAGAATCTGAGTTTCTGCCTGCAAGTAAAATGAGTAATCTCCAGGAACTAATGATGAATTCTTAAATACCTCAGACATGAGCACTTCTTATAATTATTGTTGATGACCACAAGTGTTTACATGCTACCTTTTGCCATAGACTCTGAATTCAAAGATTTCCAATGTAGCTTTTGTAACATGTTTGAGGGGATACGGCATGTCCTTTTCTTTCCCAGTAATTTCTACAAAAAATTAAATGACAACACTTTGGAATGAGAGGGATTATCTTAAAATAGAATTGCTGGACTTAGATCTCAAATTCTTGGATATTAACAACTTAGTCTCTAAATACATCTGTAACTTGGAGGTGGGTTGAAGCATGGGGTGTACAGGAAGCAGAACGACTTGGGATAATACCAGACATAACAGTCATCAACACCCCCAGAAATAACACACACTGTAGAAATCCTCAAGTATTCTAAGTTGGTTTTTGCTAAACAATTTGCTTTAGAATCTAACAAAGTGTCATCTATTAAAGCAAGTTCCCTGAACCCATGAAGTCCTGTGAACCCTGGATTGGGCATTTTTAAAATGAACTCTCTTAGTTTGGAATAATTTTAAATTTTACAAAAGTTGCAGAGATGATATACAACATTTCCCAATACCCCTCACCCCTAGTGTTTGTTAGCTTTTATATTAGCAATGGTAGATTTATTATAATTACTGCACCACTACTGGCCCACTGCTATTAACTAAACTTGGATTTCACTAGTTTCCCCATTGTTGTCCTTTTATTCTGGAATCTAACCCACATTCATTTAATCATCATGTCTCTTTAGTCTTTGCCCTGTGAGAGTTACTTCAGTGTTTTTTTTTAAATTTTTTTATGACCTTGACAGTTTTGAGGAGTCACAGTCATTGTTATGGTTTGGATCTTAAATGTCCCACCAAAACTCATGTGTTGAAGGCTTGGTCCCAGCTGGTGAAGCTAGTGGAAGGTGGTGCAAACTTCAGGAGGTGGGGCCTAGTAGAAGGAAGTCAGATCACTGGGGGTGTCCTTGTAGGGCATACTGGGACCCTGGCATCTTCCTGTCTTTCTTTGCTTCCCAACTACCATGAGGTGAGTAGGCCTTCTCTGTCATATACTTCTTGCCATAATGTACTGTCTAACCACAAGCCCAAACTGATGTAGCCAGTTGACCATGGACTTCTGAAATTGGGAGCCAAAATAAATCTATCTTCCTTTTAAGTTGATTTTCTCAGGTATTTTGTCACAGTGCAGAAAGCTAACTAAAATGGTCATGAATTTTATAGAAAAATTTTAAATTTTATCTGTAACTTTATCTGCACCTTGAAGTTTGGTAATAACCACTTTGGAAGACAAACAAAATAAACCAGAAATTGTGAAAAATAAAGTTATGAAATTGTTGTTTTAAAGAGTTATTACTAGGACTGGGGATGTGGCTCAGTTGGTAGAGTGCTTGCCTAGCTTGCACAAGGCCCTGGGTTTCAATCCCTAGAACACACACACACACACACACACAAAAAAAAAAAAAAAAAAAAAACCCTGGGAATGTGGCTCAGTGGTAAAGTGCCCCTGGGTTCAATCCCCAGTATTAAAAAATTATCAATAAATAAAAATAAAATGGACTGGGGATGAGGCTCAGTGGTAAAGTGCTCCTGCCTGGGTTTGATTCCCAGTACAAAAAAAAAAAAGTTCCAAAATGCAGAGAACCCTCATGGTCCCATAGACAGGAGAGAAAAATAACAATGATAGAAATTAGTAATGATTCCTAAATAAAGTATCTATAATTCACCTAAAAACTAGAATAAAATGTATTTATTGAAAGCTTTCTCTATGCTAGGCTGTGGGTATAATTTTCCCCCTTCAAAAGACATAAAAATAAATGGTGAAATGTTCACTACAAAGCAATACAGTCAGTAGATGGCAGAGCTGAGACACCAACAGATCTATCTAATTCTCTACAGAGAGGATTTGGGCATGCCATTCAGATAATTACTGCTTTTTCCTCCTTGAGCTTTACTGAGGTATAAGTGACAAATAAAAATTGTATATATTTAAGATGTACAGAGTGTTTATGAACTTTTGTGTATATGTCAGCTACCTCTATCAGATCTCAAAAGCCATGAGTGAGTGGCAGGTTATTCACTGCTATGTGTCCTATGTCTGGTACGTAGTAGGTATTCAGCAGATGAGGTCTGAGTAAATCTGATAAGGAGGAACATTAAGCACAACACATTTTTTCCCATTGTCTAATTATACTTGTGTTCCCAATTAGGTAAAGAATTATAAATAGAATTTCAAGTAAAATTTCAGTCTACTGAAAGTGGACTTTTAAAATCACAGAGTCTACATTGGGGATGATGAAAATATGTGTAAGTAAACCTGTTCCAAGCAATAGAATTTAGTTAAAAAAAATAATAAGAAGTCTAAGAGTAGAAAGCAAATCTCAAAAGCCAAGCATTTTCTTCGTTGCCAAGATTAAGATGAAACTGTATTGTCCAATGCTAGATCCTTCTTAGCACATAAAAAAACCCCACTATTCTGAAATAGTTATTCTAAAGCAAATAAAGGATGAGATTGCCAATTTTATTACACTTAGACAAAAGCCCTTCAACACACTTTATTGTAAATGGCCTTTTAATGGCATAAGCAAACCTGGATTACAGACTTTAAACTATAAAGAAGAGAACAAACATAATGTCAATATAATAAAAATCCATTTTAAAGTCCACCTCTTTCAGTCAATGTGTGAAAAAGTTTTAAATCACATCTTCCTATGCATTAAATGTACTTCATAATATGCCAATCCATTAGTTCATTCCATCATCAAATATTTATTTAGTGCCCATTATGTGCCAGCTTTGCTAGGGACCATAGCTAAGAACAAAACAGATGAGAAATGCTGTTGTCATAGAGCTAAGAGTCCTGGGGAGAGAGTGATCAATTAACAAATATAACAAATGGATGTTAGATGGTGATAAATGCTGGGAAGAAAAATAATTCATGGAAGGGACTCCAGGTTGTAATTTAAGGTAGGATACTTTCTCACTGAGAAAGTGAACTTGAGCAAAGACCTGACCGAGATCAGCAAGCTCAGATACATCCATCAGGAAGAGTAAAGCACAAGTGCCAATGCCATGAGGTAGAACTGTGGTGTGTGTGTGTGTGTGTGTGTGTGTGTGTGTGTGTGAAGGCACAATCAAGCCACAGCAAAGTGAATATAAAGCGTAGAGTGTCATAAGAGATGTGGCCAAAAAATAAATAAATAAATAAATAAATAAATAAATAAAATAACTGCAGAGCAGTGGAAGTTTGAGATGGAGATGATTATGTAGTATCTTATATATGATTCTGAGTGCTTTGGCTTTTACTGAGGGAGATGAGAAAATGCAGAAAAGAGATTTTAAAGTATGGCCTGCTGTTTTGAGAATCAATTATGGGAAAGAGGGCCAAGAAATCATACAGATGAGAAGGTGGTGGTGACTTGGATATATAATGGTAACATGTAGAGAGGCTGAAATGTGACTACATTTTGAATGTAATTTCAAGATAGAACCAACTATTGGCAGATGGAATGTGGGATATGAAAAGGAGAGAAGAATGGTGATTGAAGCAACTTCTGGACACCAACAATGAGATGGATGGATGAAATTAATATTTATGAAATCAGAAAGGCTGTGGTAAGAACAAATTTTAGGGGAAAGGATATAAACTGAAAGAAGTCCTAGTAAAAATACTGACTTTTTTTTTTTCCTGGAGCTAGGCAAGTTAATATTAAAAGTTATCTGGAACATCAGGAATGCAATGCTCACAAACCACTGAAGAAGTCAATACAAAGGAGAAATAGTTCTAATTTACACTAAAACATACTACATATCCACTATAACTAAAACAGTATGGTTCTAATATTTGAGCAGCGAGATGGCCCAATGGACCAGAATAGGGAATTGCCAAATAGACATATGGAAATTAGGTACACGATAAAATGTTAACTAAAATCACTAGGGAGAAGAAGAGCTTTATATTAAATGGTGTTTGGAAAACTGGGTAGTCATGTGGAAAAATCAGATCCCTACCTCATACTATATACAACAATAAACTCCAAGTGAATCAACAAAGTTGATGAACTTCACAGATTATCAATTTCTAAATGAATTTTGCTTTTGCTGTATATACTAGAACCTAGCAATCATGTCTCTCTAAGCATCTTCCCTTGAGCTCCTTCTGGGGCTTTCTCTACCTAACAAAAGATCAAAATCCCTCTCTTTAAAACTCTTCTGCATCCACTGCTCTTGAGGTGTGTTCTATATCCCTCCAGCACCTCAGCCATCACTTGTTTAGCAGCTAGTGTTATTTTCATGGTGCAGGGCACTAGATCTTTCTACAATGGTTACCTCTGGTAATGTGATTTCCAACTGTGAAGCAGTTCTATAGAATATACACCCCTGCCTTGTGATTTCCCATCCCTGCTCTCCTTGAAGAGCACACAGTCCAGAATAAAGAGAGGTAAAGGGAAATAGTCTCACTGAATGGGGATGGGGAGTCTAAATATGTTTTTTCTTTAATAGGAGAAGTAAAACATTTAAAAATATTATCAGCTTTCATTAGCTTCCTCCATCCTTTCTCTTTGGTAGTAGGTAAGGATATTATCTTTCTAGATCAAAGCCTTGGGTGAACTAAATTCTTCTCCCTTGCCAAGTTGATGAATCTTTGCTCTTGGCAGAATCCTGTGGAAACACACCAGTGAACAGGGAAGTGAACTTAGCTTTCCCACGCATGGAATGTTATTACATGCCACTTTCAGGCTTCCTCGAAAAAGTTAATTTTTAATTAATAACAATGTGCATACTTCAGATCTCAAATATAAATCAAAATGTAGGCAAAATGCTCATATACTTACAGTTTTCTCATTATTTTCAAAAGCTTCCCTGGCTTCTTCGAATGTGCAGACTTCTTCTTTGCACTCACGTTCAATGTTGCCCTGTCTTATTTCTTCAAAAAGTCCATTAGCTCTTCGGTAGCGTTTTAATACTGAATTGGCTCTTTCTCCCGTGAGGAAAACTAAAAAGAGATATAATAATAAGCATAAAAATGGAATGAAAATTCCATAAGGTAAATTACAATACAAGATGGAAACTGCCAGATGTTCTTCAGATAACACAGGCAACATCCTAAACCTCTTTGTGTGAGTCAGCAATGAAGTAACACTTAGCTCACAAGCACTGCATCTGCTAGCTTCCTCATATGTGAGTGTGTCCTTTCAGTAGCAGTTGCCCCGTGACATAATTTACCATGTTATAATCAAACTTTAGCACATTCCTGCTGAGCATGAGTGTTTAAATATAGTAATAATGATACCACTACTTATATTCATTACAGTAAGTGGATACCCCAAGGCATTCGGCTGTTGGATAGCAGCAACCAAATCTAAATTCAGACTGTAGAAGTCTTTCAGTATTTGTCCATCTAAGAAGAAATAGACCTGCAATTGACCTAATAATATTTACCCAGAGAACCCTGACTTCAAAAGAAGTGACAAAACAATAACAAGAAGTTAAGATAAATTTGGCTATAATTCCTTCCAAGGAAACACTAATAGTAATTTTGTTCTAAATGCACTTAAGTATAGTGTGGTGACACTTTAACACACCCCAAACTCATTTTACTGTCCTTCTTAAGGAAAAGGAAATTATTTTGCATAACTTTTAGAGGCATTTCATATAAACATTCAAAACATGTTTATGACGCCCAGTATAATAAATTAGGCAATAGTTACATGTGCACTTATGGTGCATTCTTTTTATTTTTATACACTAATACAATTTAAGCTGTACTTTAACAATGTTTTTCTAAAAGTGTCTTGCTTGTTGGAGACATAAATTTAATACCACCAGAATTTAATCTCTGTTAATGTTAAAAGATTAGAAAATTTCCTAATTTTATGAATTTATAATATGGGAGAAGGCATGAAACAGATTGGGGGGGTATAAGGGATTGAATCCAGGGGTGCTTTACCACTGAGCTACATCTCCAGTCCTTTTTATTTATTTATTTTATGTTGAGAGAAGGTCTTGCTAAGCTGCTGAGGTTCTCACTAAATTGCTGAGGCTGGCCTTGAACTTGCCATTCTCTTGCCTCAGGCTCCAAGTTGCTGGGATTGCAGGCATGTACCACCATGCCCGGCTCAAAACAGATATTTTAAGATGATAAAGTGAAAGTTCTCCATTTTCCAAATTTCAAGTATTTTTTCAAAAAAAAACTTTTTAGTTGTAGATGGACACAGCACCTTTATTTTATTTATTCATTTTTTTAAATGTGGTGCCGAGAATTGAACCCAATGCCTCACACATGCTAGGCAAGCACTCTACTACTGAGCCACAATCCTAGTCCCTCAAGTATTTTTAAAAGAAGACAATGACAGTGAATTTATGTTTTACCTCATTATTTAAATACATATTTCAGTTTATAGAAGATACAGATTAATTATTTAGGATTCTTTAAAGTATCCAAATTAATACCAGCTAGATGGTACTTACTACACTAGGGTAAAAACCATGGTTGGCCTTCAATAAGTATTTCTTTTATTTTACACCTTGTATGGGAAACCATTTATAAAATGAATTGAGTTATATAATATCATTAGAAAAATAATTTAAAAATACAAATTATGGAAAATGCTTTGAAAGAAACCAAAAGGGCACTGTTGAGTTGGAGAATAACAACAGAATCTACTAGAAGTGCTTTTCACATTTTTGGCAACATCAGAATCTCCTAGGACTCATTATTACACAGATTGCTGGGACTTACCAGCAGTTTCTAATTCCAATGGTCTGGGCCAGGGTCAAGAAATTACATTTGTAATCAGTTCCCAGGTAATGTTGATGTTACCATTCTCATTATCACAATTTGAAAATTACTACTCTAATGCCAACTCCTTAGAAAACTAGTTCTGAGGAAGTTGTTTATGGAATGCGTTGATTAACAAATTTAAAGAGAAATCTTACTACATGATGTTTTTAGGGCCCTTAATATATATTTAATATATACTTGCACATCCCCTGAAAGGGAGCATGGTATATGCATTTGTCATATTTTTTGACTACAGTGGTCTTTTTCAAGAGACATTTCACTGAATTACAACTTCATAGCCATTAGTCTAAATTGGCTCTAAAACAACCCAAGTCTCCTCCAACTAGCACATGAAGAAAGGCAGTAACTGTTTTCCCTTGGGGCTTCTCTTTTCCAAGGTAAACAGGTCTTTTTTCTTCATCTGTTTGTCATATAAAATGAATATCTGCACCATTTTTCTCTCAAAAAATAGTGTCCTATGTTAAGTGCAATAATCTGTATATGGTCTGACAAGTGCAAAGTTGATCAAAACCATAAACTTCCTTGTTTTTAAACAAAGTACATATGCTAGTGCAGTTTTAAGCTATCTCTGGGTTTTCAATCAGTTTTCCTGAGGAAAAAACAAAAAATCAGCAATAATGTATTTTGAAGGCAGAAAGATCAGCAAAGTAGAGGGAAAGGGTTGGGGGTCAGGGGAGGGGAGGGGAAGGAGAGGTACTGGGGACTGAATTAGAACAAGACATATTCCATGATTTTATAATTATGTCAAAATGGATTCTACTGTTGTGTAACTAAAAATAACCAATAAAATAAAAAAGAAGACAAGATATGAGATAATGTCTTCTGGATTTGGCAGAAATTCTAATGTTCCTTGGTAATAATACACCAGCATTCAAATCTTTAATCATCATCATAATAATAATGTACTTTGAGCTTTTAGGAGGAAAACTTACAAAATACTACAAAGAGAAAATATTTTTTTCTTGCATGCTAGCTAAATGGAAAATAAGAGGTAAGGAAAACAGTTAACTCTAACCAAACAGACTAATTCAGAAGGATAAGTAACTGGGAGGTAATGAAGCAGGACACAAGATCTTCTAATCCCAGCCTAATCAAATTACCAAGAGCATTCCATAAACATCTCCTATGTATTTCTTGTACCAAGAGGCAATGTAATATAATACTGGGAACTCTAGATGGACTAAGCTGGTGAATATATCTTATCTCACTTGCCAATACAGTCAATTAAAAGATATTACTTGGAGTAAAAATCTGACCAGCAAGAAAGAAAGACATTACTATAGATTAGTTATGGCCACCAGGTACTAAAGAACAAGAATTAGTGGCAGAGCATTTGCCAGTCCTTTTCAAAGTAATCTGGAAATCTAATGAATCTTACATGATAACACCAGAATTAGAATTTTTTTTCAATGTGGAAACAAAGTAAAGGAGAAGGTGATAGCTTTGACTTATAGGATGAGATCAGATCATCTCCTTTCAAAAACAATGGGCAATTTCCAGGCTGGAAGGGCTAGGATTAGAACTTCAAAATTCAAAACTAGGGGCTGGGAGTGTAGGTCAGTGATAGTACTTAGCACTTATCAGGCCCTGGGTTTAATCCTCAGCACCAAAGGGGGTAAAAAATCAAAACTAAAGCAATGATGTTTTACACTTTAGTTGAACACTTCCCTCTACTTCCTTATTCTTAAATTGTGTGAGTTAACCCACAGCTGTCAAGAATCACATGCATGTCTTAACCATAGATTACATGATGTGACAAATATACACAATGTAAATGTGCCTTGAGATGCTACTTAGAACATGTAGTTTTCCTTTAATAGGAAATAAAGTAAAACCTAAACCTTTTTTCAGATTCAGTTGAAATTACTTACAGAAAATATTTCAAATCTAAGACTGATAAACTCACAAATATGTTCATTAAAGAATAATAACCACTTTTTTATAGTGGTTAATAAATAAGCTCTCGTGCTTTCTCTTCAAAAGAAAACAATGGAAACAAATGAAATAAGAGGGCTACTCAATTTACTCCCTAAATTACTGACTTAAGCCAAAATATTTGATTATCCCATCCATTTTATATTCAATGCACCGAAGGTTACTAAAATTGACATTTTAATGTAAACAATCTTTAGCTAAGTGAGATCATGTCCATAAATTTGCTGAAAAACAGCAGAGGATAGGGCCTAAAAATTAACAGCCTCTTTGGAAAAACCTTTACTCCAATTATCTAATTGGGTCTCTTATCTTGGGCCCAATATCATTGAAGGAACCAGTATTTAATGGCTACATTGTTATTTTAAGTGAACAAAATTATTTTTCTTAGGACATATTTACTGTATGCAATGAGAATATGACAAGTCACAAAGATGAGTAGCAGATGATCTCTGCTCCAAGGTTCTTCAATGCAAGAGGTAACAAAGATAAAAGATACATAAAAAACTCTGCTGTAAGACTGAACTTTGATATTCTTTGAGGTCTATTTCCACTGGATACATGTGCGTTTAGAAGTGAGGGGGAAGCACCTGGGGAAGGGCCCCTGAAAAGTATACTTGAGCTGGTTTTTCAAAGAGTGGCAGGATTGGAACGTGCAAAGCTGGCAAGAAAAGATATCCTAGGAAAACAAAACAATGAGAGATGGCTTGGAACTGAGCAAAGGGACACAAATGAGGCACAATGAGCTGGTTAGTAGGGCCAGAGTAGAAGATTCAAAATAGCTGGGAAATGCAACTGGAAACTGGCCAATTTCCAGGTCATGGAGGCACTTAATGTTAGGCTTACACATTTTGAACTATTTAGTAGCCAATCAAGGTTTTGGATCAATAGTTGGGGCAGGCGGGGTGGTGGGAAGTGGGGAGTAACCTAGAAAACAGTGTATATACACACAACCGATTGGGGAATAGAATGATGGGTAAAGGCCAGGAAAAGACTGCTTACAATAGACCAGGCTAAGAAATAATGAGCCAGGTGAAGTGGTGCACACCCACAATCGTGGTGCACACCCAGGAGGATCACGAGTTCAAAGCCAGCCTTGGCAACCTAGCAAGGCGCTAAGCAACTCAGTGAGACCTGTCTCTAAATAAAATACAAAAAAGAGCTGGGGTGTGGCTCAGTGGTTGAGTGCCCCTGACTCCAATCCCTGGTATAAAAAAGAAAGAAAAAGAAAAAGAAAAAGAGAGGGGGGGGAGGGAGGG